AGACACTGCCATTAGGAGTGATAGAGTTAGGAGACTGAGACACTGCCATTAGGAGTGATATAGTCAGACTGAGACACTGCCATTAGGAGTGATATAGTCAGACTGAGACACTGCCATTAGGAGTGATATAGTCAGACTGAGACACTGCCATTAGGAGTGATATAGTCAGACTGAGACACTGCCATTAGGAGTGATATAGTCAGACTGAGACACTGCCAATAGGAGTGATATAGTCAGACTGAGACACTGCCATTAGGAGTGATATAGTCAGACTGAGACACTGCCAATAGGAGTGATATAGTCAGACTGAGACACTGCCATTAGGAGTGATATAGTCAGACTGAGACACTGCCATTAGGAGTGATATAGTCAGACTGAGACACTTCCATTAGGAGTGATATAGTCAGACTGAGACACTGCCATTAGGAGTGATATAGTCAGACTGAGACACTTCCATTAGGAGTGATATAGTCAGACTGAGACACTGCCATTAGGAGTGATATAGTCAGACTGAGACACTGCCAATAGGAGTGATATAGTCAGACTGAGACACTACTCATTCAAGGGTTTTTCTTTATTTTGACTATTTTCTACATTGTAGAATAATAGTGAAGACATCAAACTATGAAATAACACATATGGAATCATGTAGTAACCAAAAAGTGTTAAACAAATCAAAATATATTTTATATTTGAGATTCTTCAAATAGCCACCCTTTGCCTTGATGACAGCTTTGCACACGCTTGGAATTCTCTCAACCAGCTTCACCTGGAATGCTTTTCCAACAGTCTTGAAGGAGTTCCCACATATGCTGAGCACTTGTTTTCTGCTTTTCCTTCACTCTGCAGTCCGACTCATCCCAAACCATCTCAATTGGGTTGAGATCGTGGGATTGTGAAGGCCAGGTCATCTGATGCAGCACTCCATTACTCTCCTTCTTGGTAAAAGAATGGGATAATGGTGTTGATGTGAGCCATGACCAGCCTTTCAAAGCACTTCATGGCTACAGACGTCAGTGCTACGGGTCGGTAGTCATTTAGGCAGGTTATCTTAGTGTCCTTGGGCACTGGGACTATGGTGGTCTGCTTGAAACATGTTGGTATTACAGACTCAGTCAGGCACATGTTGAAAATGTCGGTGAAGACACTTGCCAGTTGGTCAGCACATGCTCGGAGTACATGTCCTGGTAATCCATCTGGCCCTGCGGCCTTGTGAATGTTGACCTGCTTAAAAGTCTTACTCACATCGGCTATGGAGAGCGTGATCACATAGTCATCCGGAACAGCTGGTGCTCTCATGCATGCTTCAGTGTTGCTTGCCTCGAAGCGAGCATAGAAGTGGTTTAGCTCGTCTGGTAGGCTTGTGTCACTGGGCAGCTCGCGGCTGTGCTTCCCTTTGTAGTCTGTAATAGTTTTCAAGCCCTGCCACATCCGACGAGCGTCAGAGCCGGTGTAGTACGATTCAATCTTAGTCCTGTATTAAAGTAATGATGGACTGTTGTTTCTCTTTGCTTATTTGAGCTGTTCTTGCCATAATATGGACTTGGTCTTTTACCAAATAGGGCTATCTTCTCTATACCTTGTCACAACACAACTGATTGGCTCAAACGTATTAAGAAGGAAATAAATTCCACAAATTAACAAGGCACACCTGTTAATTGAAATGCATTCCAGGTGACTACCTCATGAAGCTGGTTGAGAGAATGCCAAGAGTGTGCAAAGCTGTCATCAAGGCAAAGTGTGGTTATTTTAAGAATCTCAAATATAAAATATATTTTGATTTAACAATTTTTTGGTTACTGCATAATGCCATATGTGTTATTTCATAGTTTTGATGTCTTCACTATTATTCTACAAAATAGAAAATAGTAAAAATAAAGAAAAACCTTTGAATGAGTAGGTGTTCTAAAACTTTTGACCGGTAGTGTATACAGTTGAAGTTGGAAGTTTACACACACTTAGCTTGGAGTCATTAAAACTCGTTTTTCAACCACTCCACAAATGTCTTGTTAACAAACTATAGTTTTGGCAAGTCGGTTAGGACATCTTCTTTGTGCATGACACAAGTAATTTTTCCAACAATTGTTTACAGACAGATTATTTCACTTATAATTCACTGTATCACAATTCCAGTGGGTCAGAAGTTTACATACACTAAATTGACTGTGCCTTTAAACATCTTGGAAAATTCCAGAAAATGATGTCATAGCTTTAGAAGCTTCTGATAGGCTAATTGACATCATTTGAGTCAATTGGAGGTGTACCTGTGGATGTATTTCAAGGCCTACCTTCAAACTCAGTGCCTCTTTGCTTGACATCATGGGAAAATCAAAAGAAATCAGCCAAGACCTCAGAAAAAAATATTGTAGACCTCTACAAGTCTGTTTCATCCTTGGGAGCAATTTCCAAACGCCTGAAGGTACCATGTTCATCTGTACAAACAATAGTACGCAAGTATAAACACCATTGGACCACGCAGCCGTCGTACCGCTCAGGAAGGAGATGCATTCTGTCTCCTAGAGATGAACGTACTTTGGTGCGAAAAGTGCAAATCAATCCCAGAACAACAGCAAAGGACCTTGTGAAGATGCTGGAGGAAACAGGTACAAAAGTATCTATATCCACAGTAAAACGAGTCCTATATCGACATAACCTGAAAGGCCGCTCAGCAAGGAAGAAGCCACTGCTCCAAAACCGCCATAAAAAAGCCAGACTACGGTTTGCAACTGCACATGGGGACAAAGATTGTACTTTTTGGAGAACTGTCCTCTGGTCTGATGAAACAAAAATAGAACTGTTTGTGTTAAATACTTATTTCCCTCATTAAAATGCAAATCAATTTATAACATTTTTGACATGCGTTTTTCTGGATTTTTTGTTGTTATTCTGTCTCTCACTGTTCAAATAAACCTACCATTAAAATGATAGACTGATCATTGTTTTGTCAGTGGGAAATCAGCAGGGGATCAAATACTTTTTTCCCTCACTGTACTAATTGAGTGTATGTAAACTTCTGACCCACTGGGAATGTGATGAAAGAAAAAAAGCAGAAAAAATCATTCTCTCTACTATTATTCGGACATTTCACATTCTTAAAATAAAGTGGTGATCCGAACTGGGGAACAGGGAATTTTTACTAGGATTAAATGTCAGGAATTGTGAAAAACTGAGTTTAAATGTATTTGGCTAAGGTGTATGTAAACTTCTGACTTCAACTGTATATCGCGCACACACACACACACACACACAAAATAGTGTCTTCAAAGTGATAAACTAATCAGAATAACATGAAAGTGTCCCCCTGTAGAGAGAGGAAATAGAGTGGTCTAGTTTCTCTCAGTGTGGCTCCATCTCAATGTGAATCTGTTTTTCCCAGGTTACGTGAGTTCAGTAGCCAATGAGGAAGTGCTTTGATGCCCTCTCTTCCTCCTGTCCGTGCGGCTGACCTCAGTATGTGAGGACTCAGGGGACCGGAGGAGCCATTTCTATTCCAACAACAGCAGTTCAAACACAGCAGCACTGCAAAAACTGTCTGGTAATGTAGAATTTGGGATCCTGTTCAAGGTGAATTTCAAGCTGAATGGTATGTTGCATCGACAATTATAATAAGACTCTACAGATTGAGTCCTGGACTAAACACCATGCTCAATGGAAATTCTCCATTTGTGTAGGTTTTAAGTCCAGGACTAGGCTTATCTGGGTCTGTGAAACCTGCCCTGATTGTTTTACGAACTACAAACTCAAAACATTTCAGATAGAGGTTGTATTTAAGATTTTTCTATACTTCCATGCTTGTTCCAATGAGAACAGAAATCATTTGTTATCACCTCACCAGTTTAAACAGAGGTATCCTAACATTTATATGTAGCCGGCTGTGATGAAATGCAAGGCCTGATTTTGTTTAAACTGTGTGCATACTTTTTAGTGAACATTTGGCCTGACAAGGAAATGGTTTGAACTCAAATTAATGTTCTGGTTTAGTCACAGTGACAACTTTGAATTATAGTTTACAAAACACTGAAGTGATTTCAAGGACCAATTCAGAGAGTGGAATATGCAAAACATTAAACAAAACAAAAAATTCAATGGACATGTCCAATTCATTTGATTCATTCAAAGTTTTAATTACATTCCAGTAAAACAGAGTGACTGACCTGAGTTGACAGAAATCGAGCACTTTAGCATCCCATCTTCAATCGGGGAAAGGGGCCTACAGGTGCGCATCAAGGTCAACAGCGACCTCTACTGCCAGTACTCGTTTTTACTAGGCCACAACCTATCCTACTGTAGGCTACTAATTTACTAGTCCGGTTGACTCCTAACTCTCAAAGTCCTCCTGACTACAGAGTCTGGAATGGCTCTTTGATGTTGTCGGCACAATGAGTCGATAATGAAAGGGGCTGTGCTTTCACTGGTTGCTTCTCCTCCGTGTCTTACTCACAACACCCAAACGCCCAGCCCATGAGCGCTGCCCCCGACCGCCACCCCCTTCCATTACAAAGACTTGATTTTCCAATCCCCAAAAACGACAGGTCTCAACCCACGAGGGAAAAGAAACCCACAGCTAGGCGTGCTGCGGATACTATTACAATGAATGAGCGAGGGCTTCGATAACTCTATCAATATAGGCTTACTAATTGATAACATTACATTTTACATTTAGATTCATAAAAGCTATAGCATACAGTCTGTTAAGGAAGCCTATAAATTTACCAGGTAAACTCAATTAATTGTCCAAACTCACTCAATAACGTTCACCTATCAAATAGTTATCAAAGAGTTATAACTCAACGCATCCGACACCACCGCAATAGCTTATTACACAATCCATCTTAATAGAAATTATTTCCATTGAGAATTGACCACTGTTTAAAACAACAGTGAATAGAAATTGCTTTAATTTTAATGCAAAATGTCCATTCAACCTATTCAAATGATAGGCTTACAGTTCATATTGGACATGACAACTCATTGTAGTTATCTCGGTCTCCATGTTTATTTCAATTGTACTGAATTAAGTACTCTGGATATATCTGATTGGGATCAAATATGACAAAAATTCTGGGATATATGACATTGTCCACACAACTGTCATGGAAGTTGATAGCACTTTTGTCATCTTTCTTTCCCAGTGTAGTTTTCCCAACTATCACCTGACACAGAAACCTTGTTTTGGTCTGTTGGCTACTGAAGCCTTGTGGTGCCTCACCAAACAGAGTTACTGGATCAGTGTTCCATGGGCTGTACTTATCTGCATGAGGCAAATCTTGCAAAGTAGGTTCCTACATAAAAGGAAGAAAATTGTTAATAATGGGGTTATTGTACCAGTGAGATTATACCTGCTATCATACAATATTCATTTACAGTCTGTTTCATCATCACGTACCTTTTCCAAGGACATGGCCGTTGATACCAGCTAACCTGTTGTCGAAATTGTACGTACAAATTGTGTGTACGTTGCTGACTTTTGTTCCATGAAACAGCTTCTCCTCCTTGACCTCTGTAACACCATGAATCCTTCCCAACTGAATCTTCTTTCTTTAAAAAGAGAATCACCATGGTCAATACAATATCAATAGTGATAGAATACCACCAACTTATAAAGGGAATGTATACTGTACTACATCCACCTATTTCTGGAGAAATTATTATAATATTATGATGATGATGATGTAAATTCTACTTCCTCTTACCTACAGTACAATTCCCAGAGGTCCAGGTTCTGTATTCTACAGATGGATTTTATGCTTCTGTCTAGTTCCCCCTCCTTTAAGCAGCCTGCCACATAATTATACTCAGCTGTGTCTCTCTTCAGACAAAACACCTAGCGGTCAATGATGGAAATTAAATCATATTCAGATTACAAACAAACTCAGGATAACTCATTTTGATGATAAGTAAACAAACATATATTATTGCAGAATAATCTACTCTAATCAAGGTTTGAATATATACAGTGGGGAAAAAAAGTATTTAGTCAGCCACCAATTGTGCAAGTTCTCCCACTTAAAAAGATGAGAGAGGCCTGTAATTTTCATCATAGGTACACGTCAACTATGACAGACAAAATGAGAAAAAAAAATCCTGAAAATCACATTGTAGGATTTTTAATGAATTTATTTGCAAATTATGGTGGAAAATAAGTATTTGGTCACCTACAAACAAGCAAGATTTCTGGCTCTCACAGACCTGTAAGTTCTTCTTTAAGAGGCTCCTCTGTCCTCCACTTGTTACCTGTATTAATGGCACCTGTTTGAACTTGTTATCAGTATAAAAGACACCTGTCCACAACCTCAAACAGTCACACTCCAAACTCCACTATGGCCAAGACCAAAGAGCTGTCAAAGGACACCAGAAACAAAATTGTAGACCTGCACAATTTTGAATCAACCAGTGTGTGCGGGGGTGTAAGACTGTCAAAAGAGACAGATACCTCAAACATGTGCCACGTTCCTCTTTCGTCCAGGTAGAACCAATACCATGTTTTTTTAACAGAAGTGTCTGAGGTGTCCATGTCCTCAACTTCTGAACTGCCTTCTGATTGAGTCCACATCTACATCACAACAACACACACACATCTTATTTACTGAAACAGCACTTCAACTTGGCTTGATATAATACTAGGGAAAATGTTACTTTACCTTCTACTGAGGTTTTGTTTTCTAGTGAAGGTGAATGGTACAGTAGCTATTCGGGATTAGACTGCCACTCCTGACCCGGTTCAGCACTGCTTGCAAATGCTGTAGCAAAATCACTAGTTAAACCACACCTTCTTAAAGGAGGATGTCCTTGTTTGAAAGTCTGGTGTCTGAAGCTCACCTGTGGATTAAAATAAAACTGTTTTTTTTAGATGGAACGTCTGAGTCACCAATAAAGTTGACGTCAGACTGGTTTTGCATATTTGCCATACAAAATGTAGGACCTTTCTTAATTTTGTTGTCACTGGTCCATAATGTTCCAGTCAAGTTTGGAGGAACTCACTCATTACGCTAGTTACGAATTTTTTTTAATGTTTGTATTTCCTCCTTATCCTAACTGATTGTATTCTTGAAATCTACTGACGACTGTATAATCCTCTCTAAGGAAAGACAATTGTTCACCCCCCACCCCACCCCACCCCACGAACTCACAATAACTTTATAGAAGTATACAAAGTAATGAGGCAAGGTTGTATCATCTCTGGGGGGATATCTGTCAATCCCATGCTTCAACATAATTTGAAAGTCAAATACAATGGAGCAGAGTTTATGGTGTTATCTTGTGTTGTACTGCCACCATGTGGCCAATTAGATGCACTCAGCATTTAACTTCCCTCCATTGTTTCACTATCGCCTAACCTTCATATGTGTAGGAAATAGAGACATAAAATAATGAACACGTTGCATTCAACATGACTAGCGCCGGTAAACATACACATATGACATTTTAGTTTATTTACAGTGTACTACAACAGTAGGCCTAAGTCAAGCCTATATCCAGTTTATACATCAAAGCAGAGGACTTGAAGTTTTGACCAACATAACATTACTTTAAATTAACACGAAAAAAACTGTCATTATGACATAGTTTGACACCCTCTCATGAAGAGGAAAGACTATTTTAATTCAGCTCAAGAAAATATTCATGGGGGTATTTCATTCTTGAACAATGTACAATGTGCAGAATGAGGGAGGTAGATTGTTTAGGGGGTAAGAGTGCTTATCATGCATATATAAACTACGTACACATATACAGGTAGCCTACTGCATTGTTAGATCATTGTACCAATAGCGGTGACAGAAAAAGCAGTAGATTTTTAAGACATATTTAAAAGCCATCTTGGCCTAAATTAACTCAGGCAATCAATCACACACGGTCCCCAAAGAGATTCATCCAGTTTCTTAGCTTAGCAGCATTAGCTAGGCCTATATCATAGCTTTCATTTAGAAAATGCATCTTCTACAGTACAGTACACAGAGACGAGCTGACTATAAGCCTCATGCATGGTATGATGTGATAGTTCAACTGCAGTGTTTGAATTGTCTGTTAACTTACATTTCACATAGAGTTGCTCCAATACTATCTAGTTTTCCTAGAATTCCAATTTCTTTGGTAACTATATTTGTTATATACGGCACTGTATGTATATCACTTAGGGGTGTACTCACTTTTGTTGCCAGCGGTTTAGACATGAATGGCTGTGTGTTGAGTTATTTTGAGGGGACAGCAAATTTACACTGTTATACAAGCTGTACACTCACTACTTTACATTGTAGCAAAGTGTCATTTCTTCAGTGTTGTCACATGAAAAGATATACTCAAATATTTACAAAAATGTGAGGGGTGTACTCACTTTTGTGAGATACTGTATGTATGTATGTATGTATGTATGTATGTATGTATGTATGTATGTATGTATGTATGTATGTATGTATGTATGTATGTATGTATGTATGTATGTATGTATATATGTATATGTATATGTATATGTATATGTATATATATATATATATATATATATATATATATATATATATATACACACACAGTATATATTAATTGTAACTGTACAGTAATCTGCTCTTGTAATATGTCTATCTATGAAATCAGGTCCTTGTATACAGGAGTAGAGCAAGTCAAATGTTTGTGTACTTAATGTTGCCGACTTTTCACTTGTTTGCAGTTACTGTGTAATCGTGAGTTATTGCATGCTGGTCACCAAAGTAGTTATCCAGTCTACATACTCAGTAGAAGTGTGTTGAGGTTTTTTGCTTTGCTTGATTATGGTTATGTTGGACCCAAACAGTCAAAGGAAAAAAATAATAATAATACCTGCACACTGTTAGAACGCTCCCGAAACGTATTCACAACGTTTCGACAACACAGGGTGATCCTGCCAAAGATGCTCTGTGGCAGGTTGAAACATTGCTAATCCATTTCAGGAACACTCCAACAGCGTGCAGTTACTTTTCTTTTTTTTCAAATACGCCACCTCTCGCCCTGACCGACCCACAAGTCTCTAAACACAGTAAATAGACAAACCACTCTGTACAAACTTTACAGCTTTTATAGAAGCATAGTCCTCTTCTATCAACTTCTTTGTTCTGCCATAGTAATCCATTAAGGCACTTCTTATGATCCAAGTCCAAGTCAGGCCTTGTATCAAACAGCAGGAAGTCATCATGGCCGTCCATTGAGACCCTCCTCTCTCGACCTTTCCCCCAATGTTTCTGAATCCCAATCCCGTCCTGGTAAAAAAAAGTCCATCCCCTGTACATTGTGTAATAACGTCCCTGATCAACCCATAGGCGTCAGTAGAACTCAATGAGATACTCTGGGTAAATCTGGTTGCAGTCGAAGATGACATAGATCTTTGGGTTGGCGAGGTCGTCCACACAGCTGTCGAAGAAGTTGCTGTAGCTCATGTCCTTGGATGGCGGTCTGCAGAAGAGCGGGTTGCCTAACGTGGACTCGCCGACCAGCACTCTGGCCAGGAACATGGTCTTATATGGAGGCTCGCTTGAAAATATTGGCGGGGCTAGTCCGTGCTTCTGCAAGGCAAAGTTATGTTTCCCCGTCGTAAGGCAGAATTTGCTGGAATACTTGGCGTCTCGGGCGAAATAACTCCCTGAGAAATGATGGGAAGGTTGGTATTAGAATGTTACGTTTGAACAGTTGAAAATACGGTGGCAAAATTCCAGTAACTTTTCCAAAATTCCCAGGTTTTCCAGAAATCAAAGTTGGAAGATTCTCAGAATCAGGCAGGAATAAGCAGCAAATCCAGGAGTACTCTAACCGGGATTTCTGGAAAACCTGGAAATTGTGGGAAAGTTACGATTTCATGACACAACACAAGCGGAATCTACCTCTGCCATAGACGTCCCCGTGGCTCCCAGTTAGCCGCCAGTCAAAGTTATATGTGCATATAGCCTGTACGTTGCTGTGGCCAGTGCCATGAAATAACATTTTCTCCTCAATGTCCACAACTCGCTTTATCTTGCGTAATTGTTGTTTTTTCCTTTAGAAATTGGAAACCAAGGAGTAAAAAACACACAAAGCATTGATCAGTCTCAGCATTTAGGTTAGGTATGTTTTCCAACCAAAAGATCTCTAAGAAGTTATCGAGAAAGGTCTACCTATCTAATTCAAACCATCATTCTAAATTGGCATTCTAGGTGCTGTCCCCAAAATAATTTAGATACTCACTTCAATTAGATACTCACTTCAATTAGATAATGCAACTATACTAACATCATTATAATACCTTATGATACCTCCCCACACACACACACACGCGCACACACACAGCTCTACCTGCAAAAGAACTCCCACAGATCCAGGTTCTGTATCCTCTGAATAGATTTGATAGGGTGACACATGGTCCTTTCATAGAGTCTGACCACTTCCTTGAACTCATAAGTGTCTCTGGCCAATGAAACGAGCTGAAAAATAGAGATCCTATTAAATTACTAGTATTCTAATTCCTAATTCTACGAGCTGAAAGAGAACAGTCAATCAGACATGGGTATACTGCAAATCAATGACACACCGTTTTTTTATTAGAAAGAAACAAACTGAGGCCTCCCGAGTGGCGCAGCGGTCTAAGGCACTGCATCACAGTGTTGTGGCGTCGATCCCAGGCTGTGTCACAACCGGCTGTGACCGGGAGTCCCATAGTGCGGGTTTGGCCAGGGGGGCTTTACTTGGCTCATTGCGCTCTAGTGACTCCTTGTGGCGGGCCAGGCGCCTGCAGGCTGACTTCGGCGTTTCCTCCGACACATTGGTGCGGCTGGCTTCCGGGTTAAGCGAGCAGGTGTTAAGAGGCGCGGTTTGGCGGGTCATGTTTGGGAGGACGCATAACTCCACCTTCGCCTCTCCTGAACCCGTTGGGGAGTTGCAGCAATGAGACAAGATCGTAATATCGCGAAATTGGGGGAAAAAAAGGGGGTAAACCTCTCCACCGTTGTCCCGCAGCTATCATGTTGTAGCAGATTGACGTGCTGCCCTGCACACGTGCAGATACACTGTGGTCCTCTGTCAGTGCATCGTCTTGCACAGCGCTCATCTGCAACATCTGCGGTGCTGCTCGTGGCAACGTCATGTCGCTGAATATCAGTTTAACACTGACAGGTATAATGCATTATAAGACTTGTCATAAGCAGGCATTACTCTACTTTTACAGGTAACATGACTAGGTCTTGAGCAGGTACCGTGGGGAAAAAAAGTATTTAGTCAGCCACCAATTGTGCAAGTTCTCCCACTTAAAAAGATGAGAGAGGCCTGTAATTTTCATCATAGGTACACGTCAACTATGACAGACAAAATGAGGAAAAAAAAATCCAGAAAATCACATTGTAGGATTTTTAATGAATTTATTTGCAAATTATGGTGGAAAATAAGTATTTGGTCAATAACAAAAGTTTCTCAATACTTTGTTATATACCCTTTGTTGGCAATGACACAGGTCAAACGTTTTCTGTAAGTCTTCACAAGGTTTTCACACACTGTTGTTGGTATTTTGGCCCATTCCTCCATGCAGATCTCCTCTAGAGCAGTGATGTTTTGGGGCTGTCGCTGGGCAACACGGACATTCAACTCCCTCCAAAGATTTTCTATGGGGTTGAGATCTGGAGACTGGCTAGGCCACTCCAGGACCTTGAAATGCTTCTTACGAAGCCACTCCTTCGTTGCCTGGGCGGTGTGTTTGGGATCATTGTCATGCTGAAAGACCCAGCCACGTTTCATCTTCAATGCCCTTGCTGATGGAAGGAGGTTTCACTCAAAATCTCACGATACATGGCCCCATTCATTCTTTCCTTTACACGGATCAGTCGTCCTGGTCCCTTTGCAGAAAAACAGCCCCAAAGCATGATGTTTCCACCCCCATGCTTCACAGTAGGTATGGTGTTCTTTGGATGCAACTCAGCATTCTTTGTCCTCCAAACACGACGAGTTGAGTTTTTACCAAAAAGTTCTATTTTGATTTCATCTGACCATATGACATTCTCCCAATCCTCTTCTGGATCATCCAAATGCACTCTAGCAAACATCAGACGGGCCTGGATATGTACTGGCTTAAGCAGGGGGACACGTCTGGTACTGCAGGATTTGAGTCCCTGGCGGCGTAGTGTGCTACTGATGGTAGGCTTTGTTACTTTGGTCCCAGCTCTCTGCAGGTCATTCACTAGGTCCCCCTGTGTGGTTCTGGGATTTTTGCTCATCGTTCTTGTGATCATTTTGACCCCACGGGGTGAGATCTTGCGTGGAGCCCCAGATCGAGGGAGATTATCAGTGGTCTTGTATGTCTTCCATTTCCTAATAATTGCTCCCACAGTTGATTTCTTCAAACCAAGCTGCTTACCTATTGCAGATTCAGTCTTCCCAGCCTGGTGCAGGTCTACAATTTTGTTTCTGGTGTCCTTTGACAGCTCTTTGGTCTTGGCCATAGTGGAGTTTGGAGTGTGACAGTTTGAGGTTGTGGACAGGTGTCTTTTATACTGATAACAAGTTCAAACAGGTGCCATTAATACAGGTAACGAGTGGAGGACAGAGGAGCCTCTTAAAGAAGAAGTTACAGGTCTGTGAGAGCCAGAAATCTTGCTTGTTTGTAGGTGACCAAATACTTATTTTCCACCATAATTTGCAAATAAATTCATTAAAAATCCTACAATGTGATTTTCTGGATTTTTTTTCCTCAATTTGTCTGTCATAGTTGACGTGTACCTATGATGAAAATTACAGGCCTCTCTCATCTTTTTAAGTGGGAGAACTTGCACAATTGGTGGCTGACTAAATACTTTTTTTCCCCACTGTAAATTGCTGGTCGGGATTTACCTGTATTTCTACCACTTCCCCATTGAGATAGAAACCTGAACCTGCAAAAGACGGTACTTTACAGGTAAAGCTCTCTGTCTGAATGGACTAGATCCACAGCATATTGTCCACACACATCCGTGTTCCCTTACCTGATAAGGCTCATCTGTATTTATTCTCTCCCAGTGGCAGGGCACCGGCAGGGCCAGATTATCACAAATAAACCTGGGCGAGGGTGACAGATGCATATACACAATTCAGACATATACTGTACAGGTCAGGCCTGGGTCCAACTGCTAGGTGGTTATTATGTCAATGCCCTTAGTTACACATCATTTTACTTTCACCCAAAATGTAGCACAACATGCATTAGGTTTAACCATAGAACAGGTGATGCTTCTAACCCCACAATAGACTAAAGTAAGCTCCAGGAAGTAAGCTCCAGGAAGTAAGATCCAGGAAGTGAAACTGACCACAGAGCAAATGGATAGAACACTGTATTTCTGAGTTATACAGCTACAGGCCTGTGGGTGACCTTTTTTTTATTTAACCATGTAAGCCAGTTGAGAACAAGTTCTCATTTACAACTGCGACCTGGCCAAGATAAAGCAACACAGTGCAGAGCATATGAGCGGAGTGGAGCGGGAGCGAGCGTGGAGCGTGAGCGGACGGATTTTGAACAGAGCGCAGAGCGGCATTTTTAAAAGGACGGAGCGTCGCCCTATGTCCCGCTCCAATTTCGCTCGCTCACACCACGAGTCTGAAGCATGCTCAAGCCTGACCCAGAATCCATCTGTTTAATTTAATTTGTGTCGTCCATTAATTTGTATTTTATAGAGCGAGAGGAGCAGCAGCAGCAACAAGAGAAAAGGGTTGAGGAATTCAAAAGTTTATTCACTGCACGCAAAGGCCCAACCATAACAAGGGAGAGAAAAAGAGAGCTGGATGTAGCATTTTTTGAAATGATTTTCATGGACTATGAACCGCTGAGTAAAGGAGAACGCGAAGGGATGCAACACTTCGCCAGCGCAGCTCAACCGGGCTACACTCCCCCAAGAAACTATGATAAATCAGTACTTTACTTTGTCAAATTTACATCTGAGATGCCCCATTCACATGCTTCAGCTGGCGATCAAAAACGCTGTTAACAAGCACGACAACATTAATAGGCTGTTAGTGAAAGTCGGGCACCTGGTGAAAAGTGTACGCAAGAGCACAGAGGAAACCGACCAATTAGGTGTCCGCCCCACAAATGCCTGCGCCATTCGATGGAGCAGCCAGCTGCGGATGATTCAGTCGTTCATCCGGTTGTTCCAAAAAGACCCGTTATGGTAAAACAAACTCAAGTCTAATGTTGCTAACATCACCCTGAATCAAGTACGGCAGCTGACGCACCTTGTCAGTGTGCTGACACCACTAGCAGACCTCACAGACAAAATGCAGAAGGAGCTGGGGAACCTGGGGATGATCCTCCCTGCTGTCACAGAAATCAAATCCCTGCTCACCGATTACACTCACGCTGCACTTCCAATGGGCATCGCTGCTTTTGCAGAAACATTGGCAAACAACGTGTCAATTCGCTATGGAATATACTATACTGATTAACATCTCATTTTAGCGTCAGTGTTAGATCCCCGTTTCAAGACAGAATGGATAATCCGAGATGAGTCTGTATGCAACACATTCGGGGAGATAAAGTAAGGCTGTGGTTTAAGCTAAAAGTGAAATACATGCAGATTTTGTTCCTTTTTTGGAGTGAGCGGGGGGCGATTTGAGTGGAGCGCGATGCAAACTGCGTTGAGCGCTGAGCGATAATGAGCGGACTGGCCTGATGTGGCTTTGAGCGGGGGGAGCGGAGGGGTGAACAGCTCCGTGAGCGAGGAGCTGAGATTCTCACCGCTCCACTCCGCTCATATGCTCTGACACAGTGCGATAAAAAACAACAACACAGAGTTACATATGGGATATACAAAACGTACAGTCAAAAACACAAAACACAATAGAAAATCTATATACAGTGTGTGCAAATGTAGTAAGTTATGGAGGTAAGGCAATAAATAAGCCATAAATCAAAATAATTACAATTTAGTATTAACACTGGAATGATAGATGTGCAGAAGATGATGTGTAAATAGAGATACTGGGGTGCAAATGAGCAAAATAAATAACAATATAGGGATGAGGTAGTTGGGTGGGCTAATTACAGATGGGTTGTGTATAGGTGCAGTGATCGGTAAGTTGCTCTGACAACTGATGCTTAAAGCTAGTGAGGGAGATAAGAGTCTCAAGCTCAGAGATTTTTGCAGTTCGTTCCAGTCATTGGCAGCAGAGAACCGGAAGGAATGGAGGCCAAAGGAGGTGTTGGGCTTTGGGGATGACAGTGAGATATACCTGCTGGAACGCATACTACAGGTGGGTGTTGCTATGGTGACCAATGACCTAAGATAAGGCAGGGATTATACAGTTACATGCCTGTGGGTGACCTGCATGTCTGAGTTATACAGCTACAGGCCCGTGGATGACCTGTATGTCTGAGTTATACAGTTACAGGCCCATGGGTGACCTGTATGTCTGAGTTATACAGTTACAGGCCCATGGGTAATAATAATAATAATATAATAATATGCCATTTAGCAGACGCTTTTATCCAAAGCGACTTACAGTCATGCGTGCATACATTTTTGTGTATGGGTGGTCCCGGGGATCGAACCCACTACCTTGGCGTTACAAGCGCCGTGCTCTACCAGCTGAGCTACAGAGGACCACATGGGTGACCTGTATGTCTGAGTTATACAGCTACAGGCCAGTGGATGACCTGTATGTCTGAGTTATACAGTTACAGGCCCATGGGTGACCTGTATGTCTGAGTTATACAGCTACAGGCCCGTGGATGACCTGTATGTCGGAGTTATACAGCTACAGGCCCATGGGTGACCTGTATGTCTGAGTTATACAGTTACAGGCCCATGGGTGACCTGTATGTCTGAGTTATACAGTTACATGCCTGTGGGTGACCTGCATGTCTGAGTTATACAGATACAGGCCCGTGGGTGACCCCATTGGACTCACCTAAAGCCAGTGGCAGAGTGGAAGGCCCGTTTGATTGGCCGTTGTTTCCCGGTCGTGACATTGATCTGCTTCATGACTGGTTGTGAAACAAAGACAAACAAAGATCAGCCAATTAAAGACGCACTCAAACATATCCAATGATTGTCAATGATACTGTATAGATGTGTACCAGTACTATAGTGTTCTTGGTACCTGAGAAGTCCAGTCTGTAGGTGTACTTGGCGGTGTAAAACTCCATGACACCGTGTTGATTCCTGCTGTAATTCTGTTCTATCTGCTCACTGGTCACAGAGCATGCAGCACTTGGATCAATCTGCCACAACCAGAACAAATTGCAAATGAGACAGTGTATGGGATGGGTGGAGTGAGTGAGGGGATGGAGGGATGGGTGGATGGATGCAATGAGTGGGAGGACGGCTAGAGGGATGGAATAATGAAGGGTTGGATCGATAGATCAAGTGAGAGGATGGATGGACGATGAATGCATAGGTGGAGTGATATGTCCTGTACCTCAAACATGTGCCACACTCCACACTCAGCTAGGTAATACCAGCACCAGACAGCCTCTGACGTGTCCATCTCCTCCACCATCTCTGAGGACTCTTCCTCAGGTGGCCTTGTGGCAAACATGTCTGGACCTGGGAAGAGCAGTAGACAATGTCATTGCATTGGCTTATAGTGGATAGTGGATGAGGAGTAGGCTAGGTTTATTTTCAGCATGACATTTCATCTTTTCAAATATCTGGTCTCATATTTCTCAGGGATTTGCTTCCATCTATGAACAATACCTATGTGAATTGGACCAATATGTTTCCAACAACACCATTAGGTTGTTCCTGGTTGGCACACCATCTGTCGAGGTGTCATCAGCTTCTTGCAAATTCTCTGCACCCCGAAGTGCTTAGATGAGGATGTGTGTGTGCATGTCAAATAGACGAACAACATTCACTAAGATGCTATCAAACACTAGCAATATGTTTATCACATCGGGTATATAGGCTATAGGAAATATAACTAGCTACTAGCAGGAAATATAGCAGGCTATCTTACCGGTTTATTGAGCTATTAGCCAGCCTCCAAGCTACTGCGTTTAACCTCTTCTAGAATTGGCAATCATATATTCCAGCTAACCATGAATTTCAACTCGTGCTGCAAAGTCGTATTTAGCACCCAGCATCGAGAGATCTTTTGTAGAATTATGCAAATTCATTTGCGTTTCTCTTTGATTGTTATGTTTACATTCATTTCCTGGTAGCAAACGTCACAGAGGACGTCATAATGCCAAGTCGCTCCCACTAGGTGTGCGTTCGTAAATTCACTCTGGCTTTCTCCTCTGATTTCAGACCACTCTCGTCTGAGTGTGCCAATGCGCAGAATAACTGATGAATTTACGAACGCTCAACACCCGTTGAATATGACCGGTGTCAGTAAATGTCGGCAAAAAAGCGTAATTAAATTGTTGCCAGCAGCACAGTTACAGTCACCAACGCTCTGGGTAACATGAAAACACCTTAACTAGCTCTGCTAGGGCGAGTAAAATGGTCAGAGTGAGATTTATCTCATTTGTGTCTGGAAGTAGCTAGCAAGCTAGCCAACGTTAGCCAGTTAGCTTGTGTGCTTACTGCCGTTTGTGAGGCCAGAACGCTCGGATCAACCTACTCCTCGGCCAGAGCGTCCAGTGTGCGCTCTGAACGCTCCGAGAGCGAAACGCTCTGAATTTACGAAAGTACAATCTGACAACGCTCTTAATTTACGAACGACCACAGCGCACTCTGGCACTCCTAGATATGATGCCGCGTCAGGAATAAACATGTCCCAAAAATATTTACCTCTAGGCGTAAATTGGTTCCCTGAATGGAAAATGTGTCTTATGAACTTGTTACAACAAGATGATGAACTCATATTTAGCTTTTTGAACACTACCCATGTTTTTGACATGAAGGATATAATATATGTTACTATTGAAATGATGACAAGACCATTGAAATTATTGCGATTTTTATTTTTTATTCTCGTTGCCAAAAACTTTATACACAAACAACAATTCCAAAATTCTATACCGAAATTAAAAATATTTCTGATTGAATGTAATCATCTAGTTGAGACATTATCCATAGTTCATAACAAAAAAGAATGACATTGAATCATTATAATGAGATTTGTTCTGAGTGAATACAATTACACTTGTTTTCCTTTTCTTTCTTTTTTGTATGTTTGTATTTAAAGTCTCTTCTTGTTCTTACCTGTGTGTTTTGTTTTACGTTAGACATGTTTGATGTAGTGATGTAAGTTGTTGATTGCTGATAATTTGTATAATGAATATTTCTGCCTGATATTTGTCAATTGTACTTGGAATCAAATAAACAATCATCAGCCCTAATTATGTCAAGAATTCCAAACATTCCAGTGACAGTCTGTCTGAGGGATTGAAATAAATTGTTTCTACCTAATTCTTTGTTGAATACATTATGGAATAGGATAGCCCAATGCACAATAAATAATAAAACCGTTTCTTATTTTATTTTATTTTCTTTCATTTCATTTAAATGATTTAGTTGAATTAATATTTTGTTAAACTGGTGCACATGTCAACTCTCTTCCACATATCAATGATCCTCCACAATGATAGGCTGGTTTACTGTATCATCCTAAATAGCTGTTATAGGCTATCATCCTGGTTCATTTCAATACCATATGAAGGCTTTGGAGTTTGTAGACACGCCCCTACTCCCCCTTCAACATTCTTTCCAAAGACCACTCTGTCTGTGAAGCCAAAGGAACTGCTTCATTTACTCCTACCAGCTGTGTGGAAAAGCAGGATATATTGCGTTAAAATAGTGGGTGAGTTGTAGGATATATTTTGCACGCATAATTGAATGATTGTGCCTAATACATGGAGGATTCACAGAAATGATAGTGCTTACTCACTTTTTTCTTCTTGCTTGCATGAATCCTTTTTCTCAAACAAATAAATTGCAAACTATTTGATTTTAGCATATGCCTAAATAAAAGTTCAAGCTAAATAGCCTGTAGGTCTGCATCTGCATGATTGTACTGCGTTGTATTACTGCATTGTACATTATTGCATGTAATCCATGGAGGAAATTTGCTTAGTGGGAAAGCACCTTAACTTCAATGTCTTGTGGATATCCAAAACAATCAATGATTATCTTATTTTTTATACATTTGTGCAGATAGGCTATGACTGACTGCATAACTGAGATAAGCAAGCAAATAGCCTAGTCATAAATGCTAGTGTCATAGGATCAAGCCTCAGGCTCTCTAACAGAACAAAGACAATCTGTCTTGATTGGAACATATTGTGTTGAAGAAAGCCTTTGAGTAACGGAAGATGTAAACACAGAGTCCACACCAGATTTAACAATGAGAGAGAGAGAGGAAGAAAGAGAGAGAGGAGGAGTGTATGTGTGTGAGAGAGAGAGAGAAAGAGAGAGGAAAAGTGTGTTAGTTCATGCGTGAGAGAGAGAGAGAGCTTTGGCAATATTAACAAAATGGCATGCCAATAAAGCATTTTGAATTTAAGAGAAAGTGAGTGAACATGGAAGAGGAGATGGCTGGAGGGACAACTCCCAGAGGACCAGTGGACTCAGAGGCCCAGAAAGGGAGCCCCGAGGATGGGGTTCAGCAGGAGAGGGGCAAGTGGGCCAACAAGACTGAATTCCTGCTCTCCATGGCTGGTGAGATCATTGGCCTGGGCAACGTATGGCGCTTCCCTTATCTGTGCTACAAGAACGGAGGAGGTAAGTAAACCAGCACTTCCCAATCTATTGACTGTCAGGATAAACAGTAGGATTACACTATCATGGTCTGAATGCACTGAAACCAATGAAGAGTTTGGTCACATTTACAGGATATTGACCCATGTGGAACCGTTTTTGGAATAGACTGAACAGAGCAGGGAGAGAAAGAAAGAAAGACAGAAAGAAAAAAGGAAAGACAGCTGGTGTGTTGGTGTGAGATAGTAATTGAACATCAGAGAGAGAGGGAGAGCGAGAGAGAGAGAGAGAGAGAGAGAAAGAGAGCGAGAGAGAGAGTGTGCGAGAGAGAGAG